GTTCATTTAGTTCACTTTATCACTCGACGCAGTGTGAAATGTCCTTTTTCACATATGAAGAAATAATACTGTAACAAAATTCAATATTCTCCCATTATTTTATGGTCATCACCTCTCACCCACATTTTATAGCTCCAATAAAGCCTTCGTGAGATACTACGGGTCACAATATTAAATAAAACATAACGATATTTAATGCGTCGCATTTTGCCTCCCTAAAGAGCTATTAAAAAGCATACACTCTTTCACGTGGAGTATCTGAAATCCACCCAGAATCATTCACAATCCATCGCATTTAGTGTGAATGCCAGAGAGAATTTCGCAGAGAATTATATAGGTACATATGTATGAACTGCAGAAATATGAGTAGTATTGCAAAAATCTGCGATAGCTAATCGAAAATTCAAATGAGGGGAAATTGCTTGTCGATCTGAGCCTGTCACTCAGGAGATTGTGGAGATCAATAAATCCTCACCATCTGTCGGGTCGTATTATAAAATTACACATGGAACCTTCAATATGTCAAGGGTGTTTTTCACCCGACACACGGGAATATTTTGAGTGTCAAAAACCCCCAAAATATCCCTCGCAAACTTTTCTCTGCCAGCCCTCGAGCATGGGAATTTCTTCTTGAGTGGTAAATAATTTTAGACATTCACATCACAAGCGCGCTGTCGGCATAGAAGGAAAAACTGCTCTCCCACCAAAATTAAGTTACACACACGCTTACGTCGGGGGCTCCCCATTGATTTCTGTGCATTCACACGCAAAATTTTGAGAAGCTTTTCAGTTACATGCAAACTGTCTGTTTATCTTTGCAAACGCAGAAGCAAACAAGAGCTTTGTTACATGTGCTCATCATGAGGGTATCTTCATTTATTGTGTTACTCGAGATGCAAACTCAAGATTGTGTTCTCAAACGGGAATTAAGAAAATATAACGTAACAAGAAGGTGATTAAATCAGGTGAAGTATCATGTTTGGCAAAATTTTTCGAGAATTTCTTTCAGATTATCAACATCAACACATTTTTATTCAGAGCAGTTTTTAAATCACCCAGAAATTTGAGATTCAGAATGCAAAATACATTTTTGAATAGAATTATCGCATTGTGATCGAGTCTACGATTTACACAAAGCTCCATTTAAATAATAAAAATACATTCTCAGAATATATTTCTCCATTCATGGAAACATGTACGTAATATTTGCTCTCAATTTCTTAGAATTCCGTAATCTATGAAAGCCAATTAAGCACGTGTCTGTTCGAAAGAGAATTTGCGATATGGAAATAAGAGAATTCGGAGGAACTATATACCAGCAACAGGCGGTATATAATGAAATTCGTTTACCACCAGAGTTTGCTTATTGGAACTTTTGGGTCAATTTTGAGTATTCTGCATACCACATTCAGTGCAGTGCTGAAATCACTATAGAAAGCATGTATGAAAAGAAGCATTGTAGCAGGAACGTATGGAGTCCTTTGTACAATTTCGTGTGGGTGAAATACATAAAAGAAGGGAGTTTAATACTATATTGTCAGTTCATACGCGTTGCTTCCGGAAATGACAATCACTCGAGCGTAGCTCAGTTTTAGAGCAACATCCTGCGCTGCACCAAATCAATATTTTCTTCGTCGCTTCTATAAAATTGTCTTTCACCTTGGAGACAATTTTCCACGATACACTGACAATATCATGATTATTTGACAAAAAAAAATCTGCTGTTTCCAAGTTGATGTTTTCGATAAAAGTCACATTCTTAGAATTGCTGAAATTTTTCTCCAGCTTATTAAATTTTCAATCAATTGCACCTTACCAAATGCAAAACGGGAATGCAATTTTGACTTATGTATATGCGTTTGATTGAAGTTTTAATATGCGAAAAAGAAATATTTAATTTTCCCACCCACTCAAAGTTCAGCGTGATTGCTTTTCCGTGAAGCGAATGATATTTCAGTGTGAAAACATCTCCTAGTGGAAAACGGTTGAGAAATATTCTGGTAGAGTGATTTTCAATTTGGCTAGAGGGTACTCCAAGGATTGAAATTGCACATTGGTTTTATCTACTTCCCCTTTTTGCGCCATCTTCACCACCTACATCTCGCTATTTGACACATTTTCAATTTGCTGTCATGGGGACTTTGCTGACTTTTTTCATCTTCATGTTTACAACCGTTTGTACATATTGTGAAATATTTTTGCATAATGTGATAAACCACGTGTAGTTTGCTATACCAATTTCAACTCAATTTCATTTGAGCGTGACGATAAAATTCAAATGCTCAAAATTCTATAGTGAGAAAATTTGAATTCAATTGAAATCTACATTAATGATTCTACAGAAAAGGTTACTATTTTAGCAGCAACTTTATCCATACGTAATCATCAGGTAACGTTGACAGTTTGATACGAAACACAACTTCAATGTTCTCTGATAACTAAAACTAAAACATTACACGCCATTCATGAGTTTTAGTGAAAAGCTCTGAAACTACAGCTGTAGTGGGGGAAATATGTAACAAAAGACGAGGGAGTGTGAGGGGACAGGAGATACATATTAAATAAAATTAAACAACTGAGCAGAGGATTCTGGAAAGCCATGAAAAAAGAGCTTTGACCATTCATTTACCTCTCTTGCACCATCAACCATAAAGTTTCATGTAAAAACTTGCCTTGGCATCGTCCTTCCTAAACACGTGAGCAAAATGAACTCAATTTGCCGATAGTGTTGCATATTTTCATGAGAAACAACATCTAGCTTAAGAGGGTGAAAGTTCAGACTTTAAGCCTAAGAGGCGTGCAGTGCTAGATTTCTGGAATCCCAATGAACTAAGACATTTTCCCTTCATTATTCTCTCATGCAGCAGAGAACAGCTTTTACACTCACAATGTGGAATCCCCGTTCAAGTGTACCTTAATCCATACTCCAGTTCTCTGGAAGATATTAGCTTTCCCTCTATATAATTTTATACTCCCAACTTTCTTTCTACTTCCCTCCATCCTCAGGAATTCTTGCAAAGTCTCATGTGATGCGCCACTCGAGTTCATTTCGTATGATGTAATAGCAACTGAAGAATGAAAAATGTAATTATATCAGCAGAATTTTCTGTCAACCAGAAAATTCATTAAATACTTCGACATTTCGAAAATGATCTTGCTAAGCATCTCATTTCAGATTCTCTTGCAAGTCACCATGTGCTTTGTGCCTGGTAAACTGCGCGGCACATTTGGCTTCTGAAATTTCAATGGAGGAGATCTCATCATTGTAATGTATTGCACAGAAATTCATCACAAAAGGATACCAAATGAAGTGTGCAAACAATCTTTGAAATACGAAGCTTTGTTCAATTTTGAGAATTTATCTATTGAATTTAAATCAATATAAAGTATTTGAGCTTGATTTAGAGTAAGTATTGTAAAATATAATAAATTTTGTTCCGTTTTCTTTTATTTCCTTTAATTTGCAATGCTCTGAAACGGAAATTCACCCCTTTTTATGTTTGTTTTTTCTTCAAATGAACTTGGAAGAAACCGAGAAATTTGAACCGAGGATTATTTCCCGTTTGAAATAGTACTACATAATAGCTGTCTTGTGTCTGGTGGTGAATCGCAAGCATTGGAACAAAAGGAATTTTACACTTAGAAGAACCCTCTTCATGGTATTGTGTGTAGCTTGCAAGAAATGATTCTTCGAAGAACAATCCATGTGGAAGAACAGAAAGCATAAAAATCTTTTGTATTCAGCACACGAATTTCAGCCATTTTAATTAAATTCATTCTCACGTAATTCCACTGGCACGAGGTATAGTTACGACGGAATAGAGCTGTAGTTGAAAGGCTCAAATAATTTCAAGGGCTCCGCACTTTCACATCAAAGAACATCTGACGTCTTTAGCAATTTTCGTAGTCATATTTACAAACTCTTCCCCAATGAAACTTTATACACAACATTGCTTTTACTAGTCTTTTTGGGATAATCTACTTCCCATGAGCTTAAAGTTTTCCACATCCTTGAATGCTCAACAAATGGCAGGAAAGATTGTGATAAAGCGCTAGACTCCCATCGTCAATTTATCAGAACAGCCAACAAATCGACGAAAGTTTCAATTGTGCCAGTCATGGACTTTAAACAATTCATTGATTCGACAAATCGCCGATTGGCCCAGCAACATGACTAAGCTCCAGGTGAATTTATGGGTGCCAGGGCTTATAGACTCCAGAGTGGGTGGTGAAAAGTGTCTCTGTGCGCGATGAAGTACAGTTAAATAGGGCGGAAGGAGAGATTTGAAAGTCCTAAATCCGCCCTTTCACTCAAACTTAAACAACGCGAATGTCAGAGAAGGTGTTATTAGCTTAAAGAGCTTTCAATTTTAAGAGTTAAACTTGCTGCCCTCAGCTATATTGTCTCCTTTCAGCTCGTTCGCTGAAGCTGCAAGATGATCTTGAGAGCAAAAGAATTTTTCCTTGAATTTTTATCATCACAAACTCTTGTTTTTACAACCGCCTTTCGGATAAAAGATATCATACAAAAACAGTAAAATAACCACAGATTCATTACGAAACGTCGACAGGGTTGAGAAAATCCTGCTGATAGACGAAAAGTTGACTTACAATCAAAAAAGAAATATTCCGTATTGTATTGTTGAAGAAAAAGCACAAAAGATGCCGTAAAAATTGTCGGTCAAAGTAGAAAAGCTTCTTTGGCTGTCTCATTCTGTAATTTGATAGAGCTCAAACTCTTTGACTGCGATAGGGTGGATAAAGAATTGTGCTCATTCAGCAAGAATTGGGGAACACAAATCCAAATAGGATTTTCATATTTCTCTGATTATTGTGTTTTATTTTCCCCTCCAAAAAAAAACGCCACCACAATGCGAGATAATTCCTATTGCTGAGACAATAAGAGGAGTGGAATGGAATTGATCATAGGATTACAATTGAAACCTTAAGCTAAAACGATTTCAAGTGCTAAGGTATGAAATTAGAATGGATGGAATTACCTTTGAAGGTACTTGTTAGTCCTCTTCTACGCCTTCGCGTCTCGCTCTATAAATTTCTCCTTCGGTGTGATGCTATTCCACTTCAAACTGGGCTGAATTGGGGAGATCCTCTATACTTGACTATTCTTTTTTTTGCGTTGAAAGAGAGAAAGAAGGTATCTTTTAGATGGCACTTTTGTGCCCTCTCTCACGCTGATAAAAGACGAAATGTGTCTATTTATAATAAGTGGTGAATATAGAAGAAAATATTGAGAAATTTTCCCATCGCTTCGCGACATTTCTATATTGGCACTCAAGAGTCGAGATGGAAGGTTGATGATTGGAGAAATTTCATTATAGAATTTTAATGCTATTTGCATTTTCTACGTCACTTGATATTTCATAGCTCTCGAGTGCAAAATTGCGTCATCTTACTGGTGAGAAAAACTCAAGAGTGTTTCCAAAGGATCCTGGTGTGATGTAAAAAAAATCAATGTTGTGTAAGACTCAATTTTGATGTGGCATTTTATGAAAATTAACTTTTCATAGGCATCATAATGTAATTATACGTTCATTTTAGAGAAAATTCTCTTTAATTTTGCGCATATATTCATCCTCTTGATGCGACCCAGAAAAAAGACACTTTTCAGGGCTTTTATTAACGTTCAAGTGAAGTAACAAAACCGGGCATATTGTTAAAATTTTTCAATATTAATCAAGTAAATTGAGACAACATGAAAAAGTTGGATCACATAATAATTTTATGGAAAAGATATAATGAATACTTTGTTGTCACATTTCCCACAAAGCATAATAATTGTATTTTATCCGAGAGGGTTTAACGTGCTTATGGTGCTTATTATTGTTTTTGACATGAATATCTTTGCGTTAGAATATGAAATGCAACATTTCCCTGTTGTATCGTCGGAAAATTATCACAAAATTAAATTCAGAGTTTCATACAATCCAACACGGTTTATTGAGTGTATTATTAATTGAAACTTGATTAACCTCCTCGAGAACAATAAGTGTAATTTGAGCAGGATCCCAAAAGATTACCCCGCGGCAGAAAACTCACTTTCTCTTTCTTCAAGTATTCACAGTCACTGGCGAAAGTCTCTCATCAATCCCTTGTGATATTTTCATAAACACTTGAAATTTCAATTGGTGCTGTTTGTTATGATTTGTAGATAAGAAAATTGAGAATTATTTCTCGTAAAATCAAGCAATACTGATTCGTTGGTGTTTGAGAACTTTTTGGCTGCACTGTGTAATCAATTGTAAAACAGTATTATAGATATATAGCGCTTGGTGAGTTATATATCACTTTTGACAATAATCTGGGGACACCTTTCACATTATCCATAATGTAGGGCAGGAAGAGACGATAGGTATTTTCTGTTCTGTGGGAAAATTCTCACGAAAACCCTGTGAATATTTTATGACAGTCACACAATATGTTATCAATAATTTGTATATAGCACATGGGTCACTAAGGGATATTGATTTGATGTATTTTTGAGTGTTCATTCACAATTGAAGCGCCGTGCTAAAATGTAATTGGAGAGCGAAATGGCTGCTTGAGTAGTGCACAAATTGCCATGAAATTGAATGTTGAGGAAGAAGAGCTTCAATTATTTGGATTCAATTAACCATTAAGTATTTGCGAGTGGAAGAAATCGGATAAATTAATTAGATAAAAATCATACAGTGTCTTGTTTCCATTCCCGTGATTCCGATACAAGAAAATCAGCTTCGTGAAAGTTTATTGGCTAATTGTTTAACCTTAATGTATGAGACTTATTAATTCACTCTCAATTATCCACGAATGCTGAATTGCTTCTCGTGAGATTGAATTTAATTGATTATTGCGCTTCATTCAACTATAATGTCACATTATGCTGTTAATAAATTGATTAGACGAGAGATATTGCTGCCTCTTGTGGGAGCTGTAAAAGGAGCGCCATTAGCAGGAGAGCCGTAAATGGTGGAAAATATCCTAGTGAGTATCTCATGACAACAGAAATATCTATCAGAGGTTGAAATTACAACAAATAGACTTCTTTTCTTGGACGGCACTTTCCTGAAAATTGTGTTATGCCTCAGGGAAATTTCAGCTCATTTTTCTCCCTTCACAAGCACTTCTCCGCTTTCGGCGCCCAAGCCGGGGATGTTTACCGTGCACAAGAGGTTTTTGGAGCTCAGCCAAGTCCCCAATAAAGCCACATCAAGGCACATCAGGCTCAAATGCGATGGTATGGGGCAGTAAGTCAACCCGAACAATCAACAGGCTGTCCCCACAAACACTTCCCAGAACTCGTGAAAATTTCCCCAACCCGAAAGCAATTCATACCCACATTGGCGAATTTTGCATTGGAAACTATAAAGAATTTATGAACGAAGAAAAGTGAGAAAGTTTCATCAGGGATTTCAAGATTATGTGTTTTCCCCATTCTGGTGAGAAATATATGCCAAAGTCACATCAAAAAACGTGAATTCTGATTTCATAAATATAATTATTTCGTTTAATGTGTTGTAAATTATTCTTTTATACGAAGCATAGAGACTTTCTTTTATGTGCGAAATTTCACTACTGATGCTTACGAGTTTTTACTCATATTTCCATGAAATATTGCATAAGAATATTGATTCAGTTCTGTGAAAGAATTACAAAAGCTTTAAACTTTGCTTCACTGTGTAGTGGTGTTAAGATATATTTCCATTAAAACACTATAAATAATGAATGCAGAATTCAAACTTTTGTAAACCTCATCAAAAAATAATTTGTAGCATTTCTGTACATATTTATTACTCATGAGTGTGACGCTATTTTCGGGATTTTTGCGGTTTAAGGAGAATTAGAGCCGCAGAAAAATTCCGTATAATTTATATAAATCTCTTGCGCAATTAATCATTCGGTTTTGTGTATTTGATTTTGTTGTGAACACATAAATTTTTCAAAATCTGCCACAGAAATGGTTTCGAAAAATGCTTCGATAAATGCTTGTTTGTCATATTTCATGGGCAAGTGGAATAGAAAATGGGACAAAAGGGCGCCCTAATTGATGTCTGGCGAGAAAAATAGATTTTCACGCATGAGATTACAACAATTGCTTTACTTTTTCATGCTATATTCATTTGCTTCCCTTCCATCTCTCTCTTTCTCTGTTTGTGCCTCCGTTGTGGGTGTCTTCCCAATTTGTGCAAATAAAAATAGTGGATTAGGAGGAAAATTTATTTACACACTCTCGCTGAGTTATCCTGGGAAATTTATCTTTCACTAGGCTGTCTCACTCGGGGGAGATCATGTCTTTTTTGTCCTCTTCCTCAGTGTGCCCAATCAATAATTTAATAAACGAAAAAAGTCTCCTCAATTCACGGTGGGGTGAAAATATTTTTCTTTTCTTTTGCCCTGAGGAAGAAGGATCTAGGATGAACTGAGTAGCTTTGTGTCTTTCTTTTTATCTGGTCACTTTTGGCTCAACACACTAACAACTGTGAGTTGCTTTGCTGTCTGGGGTTAAACTTAAGGCTTCCGTCGGAGTTCGCGTGACACACTGAATTTTGCGTGACCCGCGGGACCGTTACGAAGGTGAGAGCGGACAATTGTAATGTTAACTGATGAAGAGCGTCAGAGCGAAATCTCTCCTTCCCCGCCACACGTTCGCAGTGAACTGGAGAGATGGCTTTTAGCTCCTCTGAAGGCAACCACTAGTGGGTACCTAAAGCGCCCGCAGATTCACTCACTTGTTGGTGACTTCCGTTGGCGCCGCGCATGCGCTCGGCGTGCCTTCCTGGAAAATCTCTTTCCCCTAGCCAACGACAGTTCTCTCTTCAGCCAAGTTAGGCGCCGAGAGAGAGCCCGCAATGGCCCAGACTGGGGTTTTCTGATATCAGGGAAAAAACGCGCGTCTCCGAGTAATTTTTGCACGGAGCTTATCGCGAAATGGTGCTTTTTTGTGTTCTCCCTCAGCAAACACTCATTACCGAGCCCAAATGTTCTCCACACGCGCCAGACGAGGCATAAAAACCATTGGGAATGCCTGTAATCCGAGGAGGGAATTAGTTGAGGCAATATCGGCTGACTCCACTCTCTGCATGCTGACGAAATGATTCCCATAGAGAAGAGTGTCTTGCACTGGTGCCCAGATTTAGAGCTATGCTGGGTCGCGACAGTGGTTCGAGAGTCTCTCACAGAGGAGGTCATGCAGCACCATGTCTCTATTTACACTCCTACACTTGACCTCAACACCACCAATGGACGCTCAGGAGCATACAAACATGAGTTACATGATGTTCAATTAGAAATCAATCCCTCATATTTTCATTATTGCACGCTTTGCTAGACAAATTGCAATTTTGATTAAAATTTCAAGCGTCTCACCACCTTATGTCCACTTTCTTAATTACATCATGAAATCTAATGTTTCAAGAGACACACCGATTAATTAAACTCAGGGCGGCTTCCTGGGTTTCCTCAAATTCTGTCACATACACCTTCGCCCTCCTGTTTATTGAGTTACATCAAAATTTCACTTGGTTTTTATCGTCGCTTTAGCGTCACGTGTAAAAATGTAATTCATCTTAATAACAAGTAATTGATAAATGAAGCTCAGACTGTTACACGAGTCTCAGTCGAGTAGCAAAATTTATTAAAAAAGCCTTTCGGAAATGCATGTTATCTTTTGACTGGTGAGACAGTGAGTTAATCAAGTTTAGAATATAGTGATAATGAAATCAATATGAGTGGATTCAGACTCCTTCTTGACGAAGACTTCAAAGTCGCGCTTCAAAATAAATTTTTCATAAGAGTTGGGGATCTCATCTGACGTCACGGAAACCTACCCGAAGTCGATATACCCTTCTTGACCTTTAGCATAAAATAGACATCACGATTCTGTGTATATAATGCCTCATTTTCAAAAATGCCATATTTATTCCATGAGTTCCTGAATTTTCTATAAATCTGGTGCAAAATTTAAACATTCGCGCATTGCTCTGCATAATAATAGCAATCGCTAATAGTTTTGGTGAAACAATATAGTGCAGTACATGCATCTGAATAAAATGATACGATCGGAAACCGTACGGATATGATAAAAGCTGCAATCTGAAAATAGAATGGTGGAAAATAAAGTTGATGTACATACATAATTCAATTATCAGCGAAGATTGAATGAAGCTGAGCGGGAGTAAATGGCGTGGCTTCTATTCTGTCTCTGGGTATTTGTATGGAAACTTTTCTCACAAATGTCTATAGTGTTGGGAAAAATGGAGCAATAGACACGGAATACGCCATTTATTCACAATCAAATATCACTTGTGTGGCGAAAAGTGCTCTCACATTTCAAGCTGCAACAGCAATGGCAGCAGAAAAGTTTTCAAACAGTCACCCTCCTAAAGGAGCACACCCAGAGCGTAAAAGCTTTCCCATTCCTTCACTGAAAAATTATGTCACTGTCACTGAAAGAAAGACTGCGAAAGCTTGGTTTTTTGCCCTTGGGTGCGGAGATGAATGCGAACGACGGGCTATTGTAAGATAACAAGCAACACGCGTTTCACGGGCTCGCTTAATGACCTTTATCACTTAAACTCCCAGCGATCGAGCCTTTGCTTCTTATCTGATTCCAGATTCCAGCTAATTCGCTTTCCATCCCGAATTTTTGGACAGAGTAAACTTTCACATGTTGTTCAGTTTGCAAAATAAGGCAGAGATGTAAAATAGACTCGATGTTCAACTATAAATTCACCTTGGTGACTCTGACTCTATACGATGCTGAAACTCAGTCTGACTGACTAATTCATTCCACATGAACATGAATCGTAGATAAAAATGAATTTTGTAAAGCTCTGGGATTGAAGTAAATCCTCAAAAGTTATGTAGCGAGGAAAAGCTCTCATATTGGATATAGGAGATAATGGAAAAATTGCATAAACATCTGCAAGTATAGGGTTCTGCGGCTCATTTTCTTCACAGTGTCCTTTTTAATAAGAGTAACATATTGAATGAATGTGTGTTGAGCTCGAGACTCGGTCGATTAATTCTCATATAGCCGAGTAGGAGCAACGTACGCTCTCTCCTGAATCGATTACGATTACTATGAAGGTTTCCCCGTGGAGTTGGCACAGAATAGGTATTTTTACCTTGGCTTTTGTCTAAATCATTTTCAATAAAATAGCACAACAGGTGAGCCAGAGAGTGTGTCATCTCCCTTGCACCTGATGCCTTTGTTTGGGGCTCAACTGTGGCGGAGAATGTGTAAATTAGTGGAGAGCCTTGTGCGACCTGATGAGACACAAGACAACGAATTCTATGGTATGGACAGCTAAATGGGGATGAAAACAACACATGTGTCCTAGGTATTTGTCCTCTCTCTGAGCAACCCATTCCTCCACTCAGCCAGAATATCATTCTATTAATATCCATCGTCTGGGTTGGAGAGAGCAACCCTTGTGCGAACGGAAATTAACTTTGGTGAGATGCGCAGTGAAGTTAGACACACATCCTCATCCAACCAAGGACAATCGACATTTATGATTACCTTGCCTCTCGTCTCGGCATGCTTTCAGCCTCCATACAGGCCCAGCAGAGTCTTTCCTATAAATTAATGGACAGCACATTAAATCAATACACTTTCATGCAACATTGAACAGGTTGTGTATCCTTAAGATTCTCCCTCGTTCATTATATCAATCCATCATCGCTCTCACTCAGGCCCACCTCATCCGGTCACGCCGCATAAAGATTCCACCACATGTTTTCATGACCCAGCTTGATCATCTCAGAATCTACATTGTTCCCAATATATTTATGGTTCATCCTTTATTAATGTGATATCCCTGTGTATCATCACACAATCAACTCCCTTTGATGCTCTCATTTTCCCAGAATGCTAACAATGACCAAAAATGAACCTTTTAATTAAACCAGTAATGAAAATTATTGATATGAAATGTAATGAAACCCACTCCCACTCGTTCATCCAATTATAAAACCATTATGCACTCTTTCCATTTAATGTAACAAAGCTTTACAAAATTGTAGTTTGATCAAATAATTACACAGTAAAACTGCAAATAATGCTCGTTTTATTGCTCCAAATGATTGCACACGCTCTAAATTATCCAACTCTTTAAATATAAATGATTAGTTGAACTATTAGAAGCAAGGCGCACCTCTTCAGGAGTTTTGTACTTTTGTGAATGAATTTGATTGTGCCTCTGAGTCTCTTGTGTCGAAGAGCTTTCAAGAGTGCTTCGGGTTGATTGTCAAGATGAATCGCTCTCTTAACAATCTCAATTATTTTCCTTGAGTAAAGGCTCTTATCAGATTATCCGGTAGCGGGATTTCTTCCTGGTCTAGCAAGGCCAATTCATAGAGAACACTGTGAAATAATAATGAGATTTTCTTTATGCCAGAAAGGTCAGAAAATGAGCTAAGAAATTGTGATTAACGCAATTAAGGAACTCTATTTTTTACTGCAAAATTACTGCACGTTAAACAATATATAATTTAATGTAGTGTACTTCTGAACTAACAATTGCCTCTCACTTGATTCTGTTTCATGTACGAACTATTTGCATTCGTCAAAGTCTACAAAGCTGCGAAATGCATTCGCTTAAGCTGAAACTCCATATGACACAGACGGATAATAATGCAATTATTTGCATTGATCCTGTTTACGAGCAGAATTGCGTTCTACAAGTGGCTTTCCACATGTCAAATGAGTGCAGATTGAAAAGTGGAAAACATTGGTGCAATTGAAAAGTTATTTGCGAAAATTCCCCTCAGGCATATTTGTTCGCCAATCTCTCATATGGATAGCAAATTGCCAACTGATGAATCCTCTTTCAGGGTGAAAAATATCGGTGTGATGGGAAAAGTTTGGACCTGAAGGAAAGTCAATGATAAAGTTGCTTTGTCATGGGAAAAGTGTAATATCTTTTATGATGAAGAGAATAATATCATTCTTCCACCTTTTCTCACTTGTTTCCTCGTGTCTGATTATCTCTTGTTTTATATCACGAAGTGGAAGGGAAGTCTCCGGTCGTGACAGAAGATAAATTGGCATAAATGACCACGGAGACGAAAAGTTGGGCGCTTGTGCGGCTGCTGGGGGAATTCCTTGAGACTTCCTGTAAAGCCATGGACCGGAAGTTTGGTGTGAGCATTAAAATGTGATGATGAGAAAGAGAACAGCAGTCGGACACACCAGACTTAACTTTGTATCCTCTGGGAAGGCGAGGGTGTGGGATGAAATGAACTAAGCGAATTACATTTCCGCCTAATGGACATCATAGTGTCTTCCATACCTCCAGCCATGAATGAGTGACTCCTCCGCTTAGATTGATCACGAAGCCGCCTCGGGGCTTGTGTGTACAGATAATGTAATATTCTTCGTTCTAGATACCAAACGATCCCATATGATAAACATGTGAGCTATCGCAAATGCAATTAATTGTTTTAATGGGTGAAACACACGTCGCCTTGCTGTGTTTCATTGCTCGACGACTGAGGGGCGGATCAACATATTCAATATTATGGGTTTTCATTGCCGAGCGGAAAAAGCCATCGCACTCAATCCTTGGCAGAATATTAAATTTATATGCAAGTAAAATGATATTTCCCCGAGAGAGAACGGTGTGTGTGGCAAAAATTGGAGGGGACTGAC